ACAGTGGTGCTTAAAAGTTTGTGAACTCTTTTGAATTTTCAATATTTCTGCATAAATATGATGTAAAACGTGATCTGTTCTCCACACAAGTCCTAAAACCAGATAAAGAGAACCCAATTTAACAGATGAGTAAAAAAACATATTTGTTCATTTATTTATTGAGGAAAATCATCCAAAGCCACATATTGGATTTCACATTTCCTATCTATCAGCAGGATTTCACCTTTCCTGTCTATCAGTTTTCTTGAAGATAAAATAAATTCACCGATGGGTTTTCTAAGGGAATAGGGAGTAGCCTCCAAGGTTTAAACTGAGTAATCAAGATCATTTAAGGGTTAAACTGGAAACTGTAATACAGGTATTTTCTAGGTGATTTCTACAATACCTGCTTTATAGAAAGTTAAGACTTTAAAAAATTGGCTTCATTGGCCTGGGATACCAGTTCATGCAGGCTTTTGTCTGGCTAATTTTTTTTTCAACCTCAGCAACTTCAGCTCCCAGAACTCCCCAGCCAGCGTGAGTTGAAGTCCACATATCTTAAAATTGCTGAGGTTGAGAAACACTGGTTTAGATGAATGATCAAGCAAGTAGAGAAGAGAAGCCTGGAACCATCATACCATGATGTATGCTTTTAATTAATTTCATGTAAATAGCTATGCTATTCTTAATTGCAATTTAATTTCAAGATTTTCCCCCTTTGGTACACATATATACACGTGTATCTGTGTGTCAGAGAGATGCATACACACACTAGTATTACGTTAGCTATACTATTATTCCTATTGGCTGAGTTAAAAAAAAATTCTCATTAGGGATGTCCTTGAGTAAGGAGATGCTAGTTGGGTGTGACAAGGTATTTTTTTCATTTCTTGAAATCTGCACAAATGGAGAATATATCCTGAACTCTTTTTGTGACATTATTTCATTTAGTTAAAGTGCTATCACATCTATCATTAAGGGTTTTTTTTTCTTCTATGATAAATATTCCCAATTCCTTTAATCCGTCCTTCTATGACTTATTTTTAGTCATCTGATTATTCTCATTGGCCCACTCTGAAACTCTTCCAATTTGTCTGGATGTCTAAAATTAATTGCCAATTTGTCTATGTCCTTAAATTGAGGTCCGACCAATACAGAATAAAGTGGACTATTATTTCCTGAGATTTGGAAACTATTTTGGTATTCTAATTCTAAAGCCCAATGTCTATGAATTCTGGATATTTATAACATAGTGTTCAGTGCTTTATGTCAGCCTTCCCAATCTTTGTGTTCTCAAAATTGGTGCATGTTAACCCTCAGTTTTCACACTGGTTGCTGTTGGTATTGTTTATTTCAGATATTGGTTGAGGGAAAAAAGAGGGAAGGAGGAAACAAAGAAAAATGTAGCTGCTCTTAGAGCCATCTCCAAACCAGCCAGTACCACATAGCTAGACTGCTGTGATGCAGAGCACTTGGAAAATGTTTACAGATTTGTGTTTGGTTGAGATAAGAGCTCTCCTAAAGGCTGCTGAGAAGAATCAAATATTTGTAACTTCTCCATTTTCAAAAATGTAAATTCCAGCTGTTATCATCCTATGAATCTATACTTCTTGGCTGGTAGAAAACAAATGAGAAATTAATCGCAGTCTTTATATTATCCAAGCTGTGTGTAATTTGGGTTGTTATTCTAGGTAGCAAAAAATCAAGTGGATAGGGTCACTTTGATCACTCCTATCAGTTTGGATAGGATTTTCTTCATCAGTCCACTAGGAATGATAGAATGCAGCCTAAATATTCCTCAGGTGGAAAGAAATCCTCATAGCAATGGTATCACCACTATACCTTTATTGTAACCAGATAATATCATATGGAACTGAGATAGCTTGAGTTTCACAGAAATTTAATTCTTTTTTAAGTAGACATTTACCAAAACGACATAGGGAATGCATACAGAGAATGAGTTCTGGAGTTCTTTCCAACTCTTAATAATAGCTCCACCCCCATCACATGACAACAAGGGAGAAAGAAAGGGGCTAAGAATGGAAGTCATCAAAATTCTGAACCACTGCCTACCTTTCCCATTGATCTGGATGTGGGGACTTTTTCAGGATTTTTTTCCTCTGAAATCCCCTCACCCCCAGCTAGATCAATCTTTTGTAGGCTTATCCCTCCACCCCAAACTTGGTCCAGTTCTGTTCTATCTTTAGATAATTATCTTGCTGACAGTAATAATATAATTAGCTATTAATTATAATTGCCACAAATTGCCTTCAGTATTAAAGCCAGTAGGCTTCTCGTATCTGTTGTTGGAGCATGTGAAAGGGAGGACCTTATAGCATACAATTCCCAATGTTGCAAGGGCATTGGGGGGAGGGGGGAGTCAAAAGAGTAAAAAGGATGGCCATGATTGTGTGACTGAAGCCTTAGCTCATTTTAAAATGTGGTACATTTAAAAAGAGGTGAGATTTTAAACATAGCTGGGCTACCATCATGGCTTTTTTGACCCTCAGGTGGATGCCCTGTATCTTCTGCTTACCCACTGGGATCTGACTGAACACTGATTGAATAGAATAGTAGTATGGCTGTTCTTAAAACTAAGTCTGGAAATCACCAGATTAAACTGGAATATGTGAGATGTTTTTCAAATATTGTATATGGCTTTGAAGCCTGAAAAATCATCACTGTTAACACAAAGTAATCAGTGCACTCTTTTATGCCTCTTAGTCTTATTTCATAGTTATCTGTCAGAGATCCCTTTGCTGCATTATAAGCAGTAGCATGAATTTTAATACAAGGAGTTAATGGTATCTCTTCTTACCTTATGAGATTCTATGTCTTTAAAGAAAACATTTACAGCATTTTTAAATGGATGTTTCAGGATGATGGCGTAGCAGTGGGTTTCATGAGCATATGCTCTGAAGTGAATACACAGCTGCTTCATGACTGCTTTGACTTGAGTCTTTTCCATGGACTTTGCAAACCACACCCAGATGATATTCTTAAACCACCGTGCATTCCAAGTGAAATTACAGGTGAAATCAAGATATTTTGCAAAATTTAACTAAGTGCTAGAAAATAAATTGGGGTAATTCATTTCCCATCAGGGTCAAAATACTCTATAGAATTTATTAGTAATCATTTCCATAGAGGAAAATTTGACCTTATGCAAAGCATGTGCATAAGAGACAGTGTATGAAAAGTAAATAATAGCCTAATGGACTTTGGAAAAAAGTAAAATCCACAAAAGAAATAGTTAGGCCAACTGATATCCTTAATAATTGCAAGTCTTTAAGTCTTTCTTAAATATTTATTTATTAGGCTTGAGATTTAAAAATCAATTACTGACCTCATCTTTCCTGCAAGTTTTTGGAGGATTCTTGCTTCAGTGGAATATAACTCTATATCAGATAACTCCCAGTTTGCATGCCTATAGGCCATAACTCCATCTAAGAATTTTGTACATATTTCCAAGACCAGCCATCCCCCCTATTGGTGTAAATATACTCAATGCAGGTGTGGCTGCTGTCTTGGGCCCACAGAAACAAGGGCCCCAGCCAGGTTCTACGGTCTTTAAAAAAAAGTGGTCATAGTTAACAGCATGGCTGGCATGTGTCCATAGAGGAAACTAGGCATTTGGCTAGGCCAGCCTGATGGACGGGGGTGGAGCGACAGATAAATGTGGGCTGTGGACAAAAGCATTCTATAACCTTAGTGACCACATATACACAGAAAGCTGTATATGTCCATCTAGTGATTGACCAGATTGCTGCAAATCTGATCTGGTAGCCCTAATACTGATGCAACCTGCTGCCATCACTCTACCTACACTCCCTCAAATCCCCCCATCCCCCGACAAAGATTCTAAGCTGCTGCTGCTGCTTTATATGTGTGCAAGTTTCAGGCACCAGAAGAGGTCTACTCCCTCAAATGTAGACACTAGCTCTTTAACTGATTACAAATGTTGGGATAGAATAGTCCACCTGAGAGGTTTGTCTTGGAACTTAGGTAGCTGTACTTGGACCCTTGTCCCCTGGGTTTTGACTGATGAAGAGATACAATTTCATTTGGTCTTATAAAAATACTGTAGAGTTTTGAAAATTAAAATGGGATAATTATAAAAATTTGAGTATATTAGACACATCTACCTAGAAGTAAGGGTTGTTGAGCTCAATGGTATTTCATTCTGAATAGACATATCTGGAATCCACATTTCAGAATAAACTGATTCCCCTGCTGAAAGTTTAAAAATGTATAGAATTGAATATAAAAATTAGTTCATACTCTAAGAAAACTGCTTTGTTTATAATGTATTTTATGCTTTATTTTCTCTTAAAATGCCCCATTCAGGTGATGAAAACAGTAGCTTAGGAAGTCAAAAAGAAGAAATGATGGATACCCAAAATACAGATATCCAGGTAAATATGGACAAGAATACCTAAGGCTGAAAATAAAATCTTCCTAGTGAAGTCTTTTTGACTTTCATGTAGCAAATTAGCAAGGAGTTCACTAAAATATTGTGCCTGCTAATTAAAATAGGCATACTAAGATTTTGGTTTAGCTCTGTTTTTTGAAAGCTGAATACAGCTGAAGAATGATAAATTATATAATTATAGCTAAGGTTACGTACTTTTTCATGGTTGCCATTTAAGTAGATCTGTGGATGTGAGTGTATGTGCATCACCCCACACATACATATAGCTGCTTCTGATGAAATGGGCTTTAATACATGAAACATCTTCCATAATAAGATTAGTAATCATTAAATTATCACAAGGATTTGTTTTTGCTATAACAGACTAACCTAGCCTTTTCCAAAAAGATTTACATATGTTATCATTGTATTTGATGTGTTATAATAACTTTATCTGAATTAAGGCGAAAAGTATATGTATACATTACAGAGCTATCCTAAAAGAGATGGGGAGTTCATTGAAAAGTTAGCTTTGTCAGATTGTTCCAGACTGGAAAGTTTGAAAGGTGTGTTCATCCTTTTAAAACTTCCAAGCAAACCTTTCATTTCAATATCTGTACCAACTGAAGGCTGGGGTAGGCACTCTCTGGTGCCATGCAAGGAGAGTGAGATTTGAATTAAATTAATCAAAGTCTGCCCCAGCCTTCTTATACAACATCCATCACTGGAATGACAGTTGAGGATCCCAAGTGCACCAGGACTTCCAAAGCAGATGTGTCACTCCAAGCACTTCTCATGATCAGCAAATAGATACTTTCACCCATTCTAATCATTCTCCCCCACTCAGCCAGCCTTTTGCCCATTACCAGTTTATATTTTTAAGGCAAAGGTTACACTGCAGTGAGAAAGGCATACTTTTTAAAAAACAAAACAAAATACAGGATTAGATGAGCCTTTAGTTTGACTCAGCAGGTTTATTATATTTTAATGCTCTTAAATATAGAATAAACCTTGAAATAGTCTGAGTGTTCTGACCATAGAAAATAATGGAAGCTTGGAACAAACCCCTTGCTCTCTTCTTTTTAATTTCAGATCCTCAAAGTAGTGGGGCGTTAATCCATACTGATTGCTATCTTTCACACAATCTTGAGAAGAATTGGCCAATGAGATGTCTTTTTAAAAAAGGAAAATATTTTTTAAAATTCCATCACTCTTTGCTTGGCTGTTTGTACTTGGAGTAGTGACAATGAAAAAGGATGCTTAAAATTGTTATATGAACATTAAAAACAGAAAAAATACATTACTCTAATACTATGCATTTGCCAGGCAGTATTGTTCCTCAGAATCAACATAGTATTTGTATTTTCAGCGTGCATATTGAAAGCTCAATATCAGCAAGAAGGTGTACAGAGTTCATTGCAAACACATTTTACATTAAGAGACTCAATAGTGTTTTTCTACACTTGAACTTAACAAAAAGGCTGAGAAGCTGTTTATTTTGCCAACATTTTTTCCATCTCTTATCTCACCTTTGGAATCTTCCATACACTGCTAAGACATAGCTCTTGTTTTTATCTTGTCTTGAACTGTCCCCTTTTGCTCTGTCAGAAGGTATTGGTCCACCATGTGAAATGTGTAAACCATGTAACACGCTCACATGGTGGGAGTGGAATTATTTCACTAGCATTTAAACTGGCTCATCTGTCCTCTCCAGTGAAGCCTGAGGCTCATTCCATTAGGGCATTGGCCTCTTTGATGACACTTACAAAGGAGTCTTACTTTTGAACATGTCTATTAGATCCTCATGGCCCCATGGTCAAATTTTATTTGACTTTATTGACTGAACATCAAAGGATGCATCAGTATTGCTTTTGCTGTGACATTAATCTTTTCTATACTTAAGTAAGAAATCTGCTCCACCAGTTAGTAAAGCTTTCTGATCAACCCATATGCACTGGATAATGCATAGAGACCATAAAGGAGGAAGACAGATTGCTTACCTGTAAGTGTACAGTAGTACCTCGGGATACGAACGCCTAATCCGTTCCGTGGCTCTGGGCGTATCCCGAGTTGGTCGTAACCCGAAAAGTTCGTTAGTAGAGGCGTTCGGATTCCGTGGGACCACTGCTCACTTACAGGTAAGCAATGTCTTCCTCCTTTTTGGGGT